TAGGCAAAGCAGGATGCGGTGAAACCATCACATTGCGTCAACATATGGTCTTATTACGATGACAATCGAATTCAAGTGAAAACGAGCTCGTCTTCTCCTCGGGGTTGAATTTCAAATATCGATAGTGACACAAAATTAGGAATGAGACCAAATTTAGAAACCCTTGGACAAGAATAAAATTAAATTCCACGGTCTATCATCGCTTTTGGTTCCCGTGAGTTTTTTTATTACCACCACCACCACCACCACCACCACATCGAGGGAGAAAACTGGTATTCAATATTATATAAAGTATGTGATTGCAAGTGAAACTCGGGACTATATATATATCCTTTCGACATGCAAGCGGAATAGATACGAGGAGAACGTAGGGCGGGTGCGCGGGGGAGGGGGCGGAATATCAAAATGACAGGGAGAAAATAGAGTGAATCAACGAGACAAGACAAGAGAAGAGACAGAACGCTACAGACCACAGCACGGATTAATAACCTGGCATGCGCCCCTCTCAGAACAAAAAAAACGTTTAATGAGAAGGGAAGAGGGGAGGGATAATGGGGAGGAAAGATCACAGTCATTGCTTGGTTTTGGTCTTCCAGCGGCGTTCGTTGGCGTAGCTAACGAGGGGGGCATATAGGATTGCGTTTCAGAAACGCGTGAACCATATACGAAAGTTATTACCGGGACAAGACAGACACGAGGATTCAGACGGGGATGGATAGGGTGAAATGCTGCACGGCAGATGAGGAAAGAATAACCGGCAACCTGAATGGAAGGACAATTTATTCGCTGGAGCTCGAGGAATTTACTGATCAATTTTGTCCGCTCAAAGTTGTCGATAACCTGGAGTGGAAAGGCGATGAATTACTAATGATAATAATAATGGATTTGAACTTTATCTCGGGAGATAAACGTTTCAATAATAGAACTGAATAAGTTTGGGGGTCACGCGACTCTTGAATCCAACAGCGTGTGTAGTTTAGTAGCTAAAACCCTGATGTTGGTGGACAAAAACTATGAAATGCAACACATGATTAGGACACCTTCAGCCTTTGAATCCAGTCAAATTAATGTAGGATAAGATGCAACCGACTTGTCTCAATTACTGAGACCTAGAGCGCATATGCATCAAGAGATATCCGCGGGGCTTTTCAAATAATCGATTGACTCACAGGTGAGACGGTAAATGCAGTGACGTGGCAAATCAGTGCTCCATAAACAAGAACATATCCTTGCAGAACATGACTGCCACTGGTTTTCGTGGCTTTGGACGAGAGTCGAGTAGCATATTTGAAACTCACCCATTCTATGCCACCGTTTACGTCACAACACACTAAAACTCACTTCCAGTTAGCCTCCATTCATGGTGTCTATATTTAGAACTAGCGGAGGGGCACGTAGCTATGATTAAATCCTATGCCCAGGTGTGTGTGTGCAAAGTCCCAATATGAGTGGGAGTGAATATTTCGGTAAATGCACTTCGTCATCTCGGATTCCTGTTAAAATGTTTCTTGATTAACTGTGATCATAATTTTTTTTGCTTTCTGGAAGCGAGTTCTTTTCAGTGACATGAGTTTGAAGAGCCTATTTTGGGTGTTTATATTCGCAAAACAACCCCTGATAGGGAGGATGAACTGTCTCCAGGAATACCAAATACATGGTCACTGGGTGGAATGGGGTAATTTAGGCACCGTGAACGTGGCAGCCCCGTTCAGAGGACATGATTTGACCAAAGGCACAACGGTTCCCAATGCATAGAATGGACCTAAAGCATCGCTACAATGCCATTAAGGTTAGACCGTTCAACCGAAGTCTCGGAATGCGGTCCATTTCGTCAACCTCTTACTTGGGCGACCGAGCAGTATAACAACCCACAGTAGTAATAGATAGGGACAAAAATAACCCCCGCTGGTGTTTGTAACTGTTTCCAATTGTTTATAGTGTGGGCACCTCATATCCTTTGCATTGATAATTAAAGAAAATAGTAATAGCAACGTTAAGCACTAAATAAGGGGATGCAATACATCACGGCCAATTTCTGACCATTGTGTTTCACCGGAGAAATCGAGGTATAGCAATTGTCGGAGAATGAAGCCAAATTGAGTCTTATTTACCAAGTTCACAGAACTTCAGACGTCCATCTGCTCGCTTTTTCGTTTCTGTGAGTTCATTTCCCTTTTTCAGTGATCCAAAATGATGGATCTTTAATTAGCATTCAATTTTCTATTGATTCTGATGATCCTGTTTCCTAAGTTTATATATATATTGTCCAGTCATTCTTATGCACACTGTGATCAAAACGATAAGGTAAATAGTCTTACACTCAATTGCCAGAGCATTTGCTAACCTCAACAAACAAAATATAAACTCGATAGTCGACTCACCAGTCCATAGCTTCATTTAATCCTTCTCCCTTTAGTGCAGAAGTTTTGAAGAGTTGATACCGTCGATTCTTTATTGTAGCCAAGCCGAGAGCATTCGCTACTTCACTAATAGTCATACAACCGGGAATGTCCTGTTTATTCGCTAAGACAACCAGAACTGCTGAACGCAATTCCTCCTCCTGGCAAAAATAAAATGATAGAGACCGTTAAGCATCGCACACCGACTAGGAACCACCAGACATGACTCATTTTAAGAAAACGGTTTACCTCAAGCATGGAGACAAGTTCTTGTTTTGAAATCCCAACTCGGTCTCGATCCATGCTATCCACGACATAAATGATCGCGTCCGTGTTCGAATAGTAACATCTCCAATAAGGTCGAATGCTCGTTTGTCCACCCAAATCCCATACTTGGAATTTCAAATTTTTATACACAACGGTCTCCACGTTGAATCCAATAGCTGTTGTGGATTTGGGGAGGGGGGCAGCGAGGAGGGTGGTGGTGAAACAGAACGAGTTTAATGAAACATGAAGTCAGTAAGACACAAGGATCCAGAAAACTACAGAATAACATGCAATCAAAGTGCAGTGCGGGAATTACCTAAGCAGATGAGAAAACGATCAATGCAAACGTAATCAGCTAACAGTGAGAATACACCGATTTCGGTTGAGACACGGTGAAAGTCGATTAGTTTTCAGCATGTGATACAATGCACCGTATCGAACAGAGTTAGGTCAAAACATGCGATTCATACGCATTTACAATCAAATTTGATTATCATTATCGAGCTCATCATTCGACTGGTTGGTCGGCCTATCAAGCAGTTGAGATGGATATATCTTTAGTAAAATTTGGTGCTTAAACCGAAAACAGTCCTCAAACGCCTATGCCCATTAGTGGAGTTGTATCACGGAATGGGGTGCAAAAACAAGCATCTATTTCAAGTGCTGCATTAACAGATCCTCAGTTAGATGTACCAAACTCCCGAGAATAGTTGTGGACAGGTATTTTGGTATACCGATTGCATCATCCCGGCATCCAATTATGATGGTAGACCGCTTCGTTGTAGTCCGGCTTAATACCAGGCCTAAGCAAATGGGGTCATTCCAAGTCCTACAGCTTAGTCTGACGATCCGCATGAATGAGTAGGTCCTCGTCACTATTGGTTTTACTCCTGCGGTTCATTACACAAAGGATTTTAAAAAATTCCAGGCTCCTCTTGAGATGTACCATAATGATCCACGTTCATCGTTTCCGTTACGAGTGCCTTCTGCCTCCGAAAGTCTCAGTTTAGTTACTGGGTGTCTAGGGTTGCGATTGGTCACCCCTCTCTTGCAACTCGCGAAATGCTTTCATATGACCAAGCGTCTCAAATAGCCTCTGCTGAGGAAGCCCTATGGGAATTCACCTGCTTTGGCCTGGGCAACCTAGTAGTATCGTGACATCGAGCAAATCATAGGTTTTTTTCTTTTTCATAAACATCATTTTACTGTGATTTGTTCGGTACATAGTCTGGATTCAGACACGTGTTAAATACATAAATACACATTGACTGCCTTATAGATGTGCGCGCATGGCGAGAGGGGATTTCCATCGAATTGAAAAGATGAAAAAATCAAAAACTGGGACAGCTTGTATACATGATCCCCAATAATCGAACACTTTTGAGAAACCCATATGGCGATGCTGGAAACGTCGCGGGATTT